AGCGCCCACCGCCATTTTGCCCGCTGAGGGCACGGCCCCGCCCCGGCGGCGCGCTCCGGGCAGGCCCCGCCCCGGCAGCACGTGCCACCAGCCCCCGGTAATCCCCGCTCATCCCAGCCTGGGCCCGAGCCGCTTCTCCAGCCTGGCGCTGCCCAAACCAGGCCGCGCTGGCGGCTGCAGACCTCATTGCAACCCTCTTTCTTGTTGGTGTAATTCGGTGCTTTTGGATTCAAGCGGGGTTGTTCGTGCTTGGTAGGTAAAGCGGCGATAGATTGCAAGCAGCATGCTGACTCTGGGACTGTAAATAATACACCTATTAAAGGAGAATTTGTCAAATTGGGATTCTTGAGATTATCTGTGCATGGCGTGGAAACCATGCACCTGCTTCGGCCCCTGTCTTCAGAAGATGTGCATCTGAGCAGGAGATGGGGATGGGAAAGACTCAGGACTCTTTGTTCTTGAGGCAGTGGGTTGCTGCAGAAACTGAAGTGGGCACAGACCTCCCGCTCTGCCCTGTGAGTATGTCAGGAAAATCCACAAACGCCGGAGGTTTATGTCCAAAAAGGAGACAGAGGAGTTCTTCGACTTTATTTGAATAAAGGCAGAGTCCATTGGGCCACATGCCCACGGGGTTTTCTCTCGAGGTTTCAGAGCCTCCCTTTTATTCTAACTCCTGGCTGCGTGTTGCCCTCTTCCTTTCCCCGCTGGCTGAGCTACCAGGAAGGTACAGCCTTCCTGAACCACCTACCCCATATCCCTCCTTAAACCTGACATTTTTCCCCAAAGTTTCAAAGAACTTTCAGAAGTTCAGGCTTGTGCAGACCCTTGTCTCTTCCAGGACCCAAACTGCTCAAAGTCAAAGAGGCATTAAGATCCATCAAATTGTTTGTAAAGGCATTAGCACACATCTTTCCTTCTCGGGTGTGGCAGGGTTGGGAGCCCCAGGTGAGCCCCACTGCTCTGCCCAGGTGGTGTGGTGAGGCCTCACCTGTACAGACAGGAGTGATGTTGGGGGATATTTCACACCCAGCACCTCCCAAAACCAGCGCGCTGATGCCACTGGATCAGGGGCTGTGGTTCCTTGGAGCAGGGCAGCAGTAAGTGCCCCCTGCCCCAGAACTTGCCCCTGACTATGATGCAAAACCCCATGCCTGCCGTTGCCCTCTTTGTGGGAAGCGCCAAAGGTGAAATTGGTGCTGTGGGTCAGCAGGAATCCTGGGAGCATCCGGGGAGGTGCAGATGGGCTGAGTCATTGCCCACATCCCCTGCTCCCCCAAAAACCACCTGTGTTCCCTGATGGGGAGCAAATTCCTGCTGTGCTTCCAGGCAAATGTGCTGTTTATTTTTGGATGGGTGTCTGGCCTGCAAGGGGGTTTGGGCATAAGGACTGGGGGGTTACAAGGTGTCTGCCATGATCCCTGACCTCTGGCTGTCCACCCTGTGCTGGATCTGTGTTTGCTGATGACTTTATCCATTTGTATTCCAGAGGATTGGTCTCTCTGGAGAGGGCACAGATGCTGTAGTCATCCTGGAAAAGACTCCTTTCCAGGAGGAGAAGATCCCAGACCTGCTGAAGAAGCCCATGAATGCAGAGCTGCAGATGCACAATGACATTTACTGCACCTTCTACCTGAGCCCTCCCCCGGAGCTGAGTGGTGAGTGCCCTCAGCCCTGCTCAGGGGTCCTAGGAGGGCAGCTGGGATGCCAGGATATGGTTCCTGCCCATTCCAGAGGGGAGGAGGCAGTGGGATGGGCAGGGTGCCACTGCTGGACCTGGCTGTGCCACCCTGGTTGTGGTTCAGTGACAGCAGCACACCTGGCCCAGGTGGGGAGGGTCAGTGTGTTGTTTGCCCCGTCCCCCTGCTGATTTCACACATCTTTGTTACAAAACTTTTAATAATCAAGTATGACAAGGACAGATGGGTAGGTTGGGGAGCTGCAGTGGAAGGCACTTGCCCTGTGGAGAGGACTCTGGTCCCAGTGCGAAGGTGTCCTGCAGTGGCGGTGCTTTCTAGCTGCCAGTGGAAAGCCGGGCTGGTCTTTGAGCACTTCAGTTTAATCACAGAATCTCAGACTGTTTTGGGTTGGAAGGGACCTTAAAGCTTATCCTGTTCCATCCCTCTGCCATGGGCAGGGGCACCTTCCACTATGCCAGGTTGTTCCCAGCCCCATCCAGCCTTGAACACTCCCAGGGATCCCAGGGGCAGCCCCAGCTGCTCTGGGCACCCTGTGCCAGGGCCTGCCCACCCTCACAGGGAACAATTCCTTCCAAATATCCCATCCAGCCCTGCCCTCTGGCACTGGGAAACCATTCTCCCTTCTCCTGTCCCTCCAGGCCCTTGTCCCCAGTCCCTCTTCAGCTCTCAGGGAGCCCCTCTAAGGTCTCTCCAGAGCCTTTTCCTCTCTCAGCTGAACACCTCCAGCTCTCCCAGCTTGTCTCCATGGCAGAGCTGCTCCAATCCTCAGAGCATCTCCATGGCCTCCTCTGGACTTGCTCCAGTGGCACCATGTTCTTCCTGTGCTAAGGCCCCCAGAGCTGGAGGCAGCTCTGCAGGTGAGGTGTCACCTGGGTGGAGCAGAGTCACCTTTCACCGTGTGAATGCTGGTATGTGTTTAAATTCTGGAAGTGCAGTGATAATTTCCATGTCAATGCTTTCATAAACACAATAGCAGCCAAACGTGTTTAATAGTCAGAATTAATCTGAGTGCCTTAAATAAGGTGTTGTTGTAGGGCCAAGTTAAATTTTCAGGATGTTTGATATGCCTTCCCAAAAATGCTCTTGTTTTAGCTCTGTTCCCATGATGTAGGAGGGAGCACTGTCTGGATCTGTCAGCTTGAGTTGTGCAAAACTCCTTTTCTCCTGTGAAGGACTCAAAATTAAACATTTTGTTGTTACAGTGAGTTTCAGTCAGAGGAAAGCACCATAACACCACGGGAGTTGTTGGAAGACGTTAAAGCTCCTCTTTCTTAGCTGGGAAAGCTCTTGTTTGGGTGCCTGTTGTATTCCAGCCCAGCAGGAGTTGCAGTGATTCCCACGAGGTGGCATTGCAAGACTGAAATCCCCTGGGCTGCCTCCAGCTCAGCCGTGTCGGCCTTTGCTTTCCTTGCTGCTCCCTGCTGCAGCGCTGTGTAACTCCACATTGCTCTGATAACAGAATTCCTTATTTTGTTTAAGGCTTATGCCAGGTGTGAAACCCCTCCTGCATGTCTGAATGGGGAAGAAGCCTCTGGCTTTCTTCTGCCAAGCTTTATCTTTTTAACGACTTTTAAATCTGCCCTTGAAAGGTAAGTTTTTGCAGAAAACAGTGGTGCATTTTTGCTTCCCACCCTTCTCCTTGGCACTCCTCAACTTGCTCTGGATGCTGAGCAGCCCCACACAGGGGATCAGGAGGGGGCTGTAGACCCTGGAGCTGCTGTTCAGGCTCCCTGAGTGGGAGTGGAGATCAAGGAGCTTTCTTCCTTTGAAGCCATTAGCAGCAAATAGCTGTTTGGTGGGCACATTGCATGAGCTGCTGGTGGGCAGGGAAACAGCCCTTTGTCAGGAGGGGAAGGAAATTACCCTTTGAAACTGAGTCAGGCCCAAGGATGCGGTTGACATGAGGAATGAGACTTAAAAACCTAAACAGGGGGAGTTGCCTGTAAAGCTTTAGTCAGGGTTTGACCTGGGATGGAGACCCATGGAGCCCTTGCATAGAGTCTGTTGACTCCTTATGATGTCTTGAGAGTTGCAGGGTTAGAGTTACAGGGTTTTATCCCCTGGTCCTTGCAAGTTTACACTTGGGTACAAGATACAGTAAAATATTTAGTAGAAAAGACCAGACTTCGACATGAAGCAGTTTCATGGAACAGTCCTGTCTTGTGGTCTTGTGGGATGAAGGAATTCACCTGGGGGATTTCATAACACCCTGGGCAGCTGAGCCCTGCCATGCTCAGCCTCTTGCTTTCTGAGGTAAGCTAGACGTTGAGACAGAGGAAGTGGTGACTCTAGGTGACTCGTGCTGACACCATGAGGAGCTGCTTCCAGAGCATTTCTCAATGCTGCCTCTGTGGTCCCAGGGACCTGGGGCTCTTCATTCAGTTGGAAGTGGAGACTTCATTCACTCTTTCTCTGTTGAAGAGAGTCGGGTGCTGCTCCCTGTGCACAGTCAATCCAGCACAGGCCCTGTGCAATGATGACTTTTTTTATGGTGACACAGGGAAAGGGAGGCTAAAGCATGTTACTTGAGCAAATGACTCCTCTCTGACCTCAGAAGAGACATTTCACTTGGGGAAGATGAATTTTAACTCTGATGAGATTTTTAGGTCTGGGAGCACACCAGTGTGAAGGTGGCACCAGATGAGTCTTGCTCATCTCACTGATTTTACTGCACTTGTCAAGGCTAAAATGGGAAATAACATTTGCAGACAAGCCAGTAATGGTCAGAGATTGAAGAGCAACTCAAACCCCTGGACTGAGGAGAGGTGAATTTGTGGGGAGTAGTGTGTCAGAGCTGATGTGACTGTGCTGCTGCCAAAGGCAGGTATGTGCAACTTACTTTAAGGCCACTTTCTGAATGTTGCCTTAATTTAAGAGGCAGCTTAAACCTTGATGTGAGAGGAACCCCCAGCCTTGGCTTTCCCTTATAGGGAGAGCAGGGGCTGATTTCACAGAAATGGAAACATTTCAACCTGCCAAAGGTTGGATTGCAAAAGCTAGATGGTTCAATATACACATTCCCTGATAACATCTAGTTCCTCACACCCATTTACCAAGGAGAGCTTGACATTTGTGGCAAAAAGCAGCCTCTTCGTGCCTGGCTGCTGTGGGACTGTGTTTCTCCAAAGCTGTGCTGGTGTGATTTAAGGGCTTTTATCAGTCCTCTAAAGAGTGATAGGCTGAAGCTTATTAAAAACCTCTTAAAACAAGCACAAGGGGAGAAGCTCTGGTTCCATTCTCCAACATGAAGTGGAGAAATTGTAGGGAAAATGGGAGAGTGTGGAAGGAAAGTTTTCAGTCATGCAGGAAGCAATCCACGTCCTAAAAAGAGTCTGGTTTCAGGCAGTGCTGGAGAAACTTGCAGGAGCTGCAGTGGGAAGGCTGGTTCTTCTCCCTGCGTTTCCTTGCTTTGGCTGCCTCTGGGGTTTGACCAGCCAAGGAAACTTTCTTGCATTTACACTTAAATAAAAAGCTTGAGCCTGAAGCTATGTGAGCACGTGGGATGGTTTGGAGGATGGTGGGGGGTGTCACTGTACTTTGCTCTGTGTTTTGCGGGGGTGGTAAACTGCAGCTTTCCTCTTTGCAGTGCCTGTTGCAGCTGAACTCCACTGAGCCCCCCAGGTCCTCCTGGCATGAGCCCCAGGGGCCAGGCAGCCTTAGCTGAGTCCCTGGCAGCGTGCTTGGCTTGCCCTGGCATGTGCTGGCCTTGGAAACTGTGAGCTCTTGCAGGCTTTATCCTTTGCAGCTTTAATTCATTCACTAAAGAGTGCCCCAGCTGTTTGGGACAAAGCCGTGGGCATACCTGGCTGGGGCTGGGTTGGAATCCGGTGTTCCCGTGTGACCCCTGTGCAGTTGTGATCATAAAACCAGACAGGTTTTATGCAGGGGAGACAGGGAGACAGTTCATGCAGGGGAGATCGTGTGTTACAGAATTACTTAGGGCATTATATATTTAATTAGGGCTGCATCCAAGGTGCTGTCTTCCTACCTGCTGCTGGGAAGACAGAGCTGGGTGCAGCAGGAACTCTTCCTTGCAGAGGAAAGGAAAACCTGCAAGAGTGCAAGTGTTGACCTGCTTGTTGTTCCTTGGCCTTGGCACCTTCCTATACCTAATGGTCAGGTTGATTAGGGAGCTTATTAATGAGAGCTCCACTTCTTGCTAGCAAAAAGAGGAAACTGCACCCCTGTCCAAAAGTAGAAATACATTGTGCCTGCCTTGTGTGCTTCTCCTGGCTCCCTGGCAGGTTAAAGCTGTCTAAAACAAGCTGACAGTAGGTGTTAATGCTGCAGTGGGATGGGAGAAGAGAGTGTGAGGCCTCTTCTCACTGATGTGCTGACTGCAGGAGGATTTTGGCAGAGCCTGGGGACAGTGTGGCACAGAAGGGGGGGATGAGGCATCATTCGTGAGCTTCGTGTGCCCTTTCCTACCTGCACGAGCTCTCTCTGCCCATATTTTGTCCTCTCCTTCTGAAAGCATTTGTCTCCAGCCCTTTTTCCCTTAAGTTCCCCAGATGGTGTTCTGATTTTCCTTTTATCTTGGGTTGTGTTTTCCTCTCTTGTTTTTAGCAGGAGAGGGGAGAAGTGTGTGCCTGGTCAGTCTGGGCCTCCTTTTCTCCCAGGCAGTTTCCCAGCCCTGTGGTGTTTCCCCTCAAATGCCTGTTGTAGAATGACCAGCCTGGGCAGTTGTTCTCTGCCTCCTGCTCATCCAGGTTCCTTCAATTAAACCTCCTGACTTTTTATAACCTCCAGTTAGTTGATGGTCAGTCTTGTGTTCCAGAATAAACCACAGATGCTGTGTGGTGGCCCCGGGCCATTCAGGAACGGGCTGGCTGATGTGACTCAGATGTGAGCAGAGACAATTCCTGATGCTTCAGCCAGCTTAGAAACCCACATCACGTGTCCAGCGGTTCCCTACTCCTGTTTCCAGGCCAGGGCAGGTTTTGGGTGCCCCACGGCCTACGTGCTGCTCCGGTGCACACGGAGCCTGCCAGGAGCTGACTTGGAAACCAGAGCGTGGCCATGTGCCAGCACTGGAAAGATTTTGGGGCGAGCCTGGTCTCGCTGTGCATGTTTCTTGCAGCTGAGCCCAGGCTCAACTGTGACTTTGCATCCTGTGTGTGGCTCCTGTGTCAGGCTCTGAGCAGGTATCAAAAGCCTTTCTGGCTGCAGTGATTGATGCTAATTTGCATCGCTGGGGCATTTTGGGGTTGATGAGACCTTTAGAAGGGAAATAACCATAAGTGAACCACAGTCTTTCCCCTGCCTCCTCTTCCAAACATCTGCTCGGCTGCAGCTGCACATTAAGGAGTTCTATGATCTCTCATTTAAAACACCCTGAGTTCTCTCCCCACCATAAGCAGCCACCCCCCAACTGGGGAGGTGCCAGGGCGGTGCATTGTGAGTTCCTGCACCCCCACGCACTGTGGTTATCACCACCCAGCACTGAGGGGCTTCTGCTGCAGTTCTTGCTCTATTTTTGGGGTATAAAATCAAATTGTGAAAGTTTCAGCCTGAGGCTGGCTTTGGTATTTTATCTTTTGCCTTTTTTGTTTTTTCCCCAGTGCTTTGCTGATCTTTTTAAGTGAGGAGAGCTACAGCCTTGTGTTTTTTCTTTGGTATTACATCATCCTGCTAGGAGTGCTAATTGAGTCCTGGAAAACAACCTTGTTTGAACATGTGTATGGTGGGAATCAGACCAGACTGCCCTTGTGGTTTGCATTTTCATATTTCATGTTACCAGCATTTTCCTGTGGATTTCATTAAGCTGGGTTTGGCATGGAATGAAAAGGCAGAGTCTCTCAGATTGTGCAGCGCTGACCTGAAAAAAACAGAAAGCAGAAAACTAAAAAAGACTCAAACCATCCTAAATCCTGGCTCTGGGAACAAGTAGGTGTTTATATTCAGTGTCTAGCTAGCCTGTATACATACTTAAGGCATGAAGCACAACTCTGGTGCCCCTTATCTGCAGCCCCTGGTTTTCTGTGGCAGACCCTGGGCACAGACTGCAGTGTTCACAGTGCCCTGGTCACTCACCTCAGTCTGGTTTGCCTGGGGTTTGCTCAGGCTCATGGGGCTTTTCTCCTTCCTGCACTGAAGTTTATAGCACCTCTGAGTCAGCTGGGAAGGAAAAGACACTCCTGTGCCCTTGGAGCACCTTGGAGCTGTGGCAGGCTCTGTATCTCACATCCAATCTTGGCCAAAGACGGATGTTTTCCGTGTGTTTTAGCCCTGTGGGTAGGATTTACTGCTGCCAACATCACAGCTGTCAGGTTGACAAGGTGAGCACTTGCATCCTGTTTAATGCCACAGAAATTGTGCAGCAAAGTTCTAATCTTGAAGCAAACAGAAAATGCTTTCTTTTGTCAGGGTAAATGATGAAATGCTTTTTGTGGGCAGAGGGTCACTTAGCCCTCTTCCCCTTGCTCATCCTGAGCTGTGTTGACCTATCAGCTCATGTTGCTTGCTCTGGATCTGTCCCCGTGCCCTTGACTTTTTTGCCTCCTGTACTTGGGGCTCAAGGCCAAGCACTCTGACTGAGCCCTGGGAAGAAGCTGCTCCTTGGAGTTCATCTGGGTTTGTGGCTGGATGAAGTTACTGGGTGCGTCCTGTGAGCTTTGAATTTAAGTATGAAGAAGATGTGTCTCTGTCCCCAGGGTCATGTTTCTGTCCTGCTTGTTGACTGCACAGAAACACTGCCCTGGGAGCCCCACCTCTGCCCCAATGTTGCTAATAGGCGTGAAAGAGCGAGTGTGGAAAAACTCAAACAGCAAACTCCTCCACCTGAACAGGAAGGAGAGGCCCTGGCTGTGCCATTGGCTGTTTCTTCCTCCAGAAAAGCAGCAGCAGTGCAGGAGGTTAAAGCACTTGTTTGCTTTCCATGTCCATTCTCCCTCACCCTCTCTTCAAAACGTCTTGGTGTGGCATTTTTTGGAAGGGAAAAATTTGTTGGGGACTAAAGGAAGCAACATGGGTGATAGTTCAGTCAATGTGTTTGTTCCTAGAGATCAAAGCCACAGTGGTGTATCCTGCCACGGAGAAACACATCCAGAAATATCTCCGTCAGGAAGTGCACCTCATCCGTGAAACCTGGGAGGATTACAAGAACATAACCCTGCCCTTCATCCAGTCCCAGAGCTTCAGCATCCAGGTATGGGTACCACGCCCTCTCCTGCAGACAATGATGTCTTTGGTCTCCTCCATCAAAACACTGCTGCCAGAAGGCTTTTCTGAAGCCAGGCTGGAGTGTTCTGCCCCATCTCCCCGGTGGTTGAGTTGCCAGCTCTGTGGTGCTGTCCCCTCTTATTTGGTCGGCTGGGACATCCTTTTCCAGCTCTGCAGAAAAATGTTTGCCTTGGAGCTGTACTTCAAGTTCCTTTTCCCAAGGTTTCTGGAGAAATTCTGAATTCTTTTCTCCTTTCCAAGGTTGGCTTCCTTGGGCATTTGGTGCAGTTTGCTGGGCTTCTGAGGAGTCTCTGGGTTGTTGTGGAAATGGAAAGACATAGATTGTGCTTGCATTCCTGCATCACAGCTCATTCCTCTTGCCATTCATCCCCTCAGTCCATATTCCATGTGGTAAAACTGTTACTTTTAGCGTGCTGCTTGCTCCAAGCAGCCCCAGCTTTTTCCTTGGCCTTATCCTTTTTCACTGTTCCTCTCTTTCTCCTTTAGAGAGCAAAGGAATACAAGTCTGTAGGGATCAATTCATGCCAGCCTTTGCAGAAGGGAGAATAAACCAAATCCTGGGGCTGCTGAGGCTCTCCATTAAAAATAACTCCCCAAAACTAACCAGGAGCCTTGGATGCCCCCCATTCCCCCATCTTTCCTGCTGCCTTAAACTGCAGCATTTATTGGCTGGAGAAAGCCAAGTATGTGTTTCCACCAGGCCACAGCCTTCGTGGAATATTTTCGCTGTGCTTTTGCTCCCAAATCTCTTACGTTTCCTGTGTAGCAGCTGCCTTCAGGAACTGCTTGAGCTCTCACTCTGCTTCTTCCCCCAAATGCTTGTGAGCTGGTTTCAGTCCATGGAAACATGTTCCTGGTGACCATCAGGAGCATCTGCTGAGAAATCCTGGTCAGTCCTTGACTTCTGGGATTTAATAATGCTGTTCCTTGTCTTTATCCAACTGGTTTTGCCAAGTGGAAAGGGAAATGTGAGGGGTGACAGAAATACCAGGGGACTACAGAGGCGTCTGTGTTTCCTGCTGGAGGATACAAAGCATGGATGCTTTCAGGATAATGGTTTTATTGTGGTGCCAGTCTCTGGACATGTGTTCTGCTTGCTGGGCTTGTCCTGGGAGCAGCAGGAGCAGTCAGCCAAGGACCTGCCCACCACGAGGCAGCCTTGGGTTTAAAATTCAGCTCATCTGATCAGTGACCTTATTGAGGGCACTGATAGCTTGGTACTTGTGATCAGAGCAGGCATGAAAACCCCAGCAAAAGGCAAATGTCCATTTTCTGCTGAGCTTCCCCCTGAACTTTCCTCCCAGGGCTATGGAACAGGGTGAGCTTGTGCTGTGCTTTTGAGAATAGCTTGAAGAATCCAATCTCTAAAATGATGCTGAGGAGAAAAGATAGCAATTAAAGCAAAAATTCCAGATCAAGGGACAAGAAGTAGTTTTTTCCCTCCAGATGTATTCAGGTCAGTTTGCAGCAATCCTAAGTGTTGATTAGATTAATTAAACTCTTGATTGATTTCCCCCAGAGTGTCTGGTGTGCACAGCACCTCCAGCCCAGCTCATTTGGTGTATTTGTGAAACTGGCTACACCTTCCCTACCCATCTGGGGCAGTCAGAATATTTCAGGCCTATAATTGGTAGGGAAAATGATGTTTCCAAACATTTTCAGCTTCCAAGCTTTAGCAATTTCCTGCTGCCTTGTGTTACCACCTTCCAGGGATGTGGCTGAGGACTCTCTTACCAGCCCAGTAGTTAAGCTAGGCTTAAGCTAGAGCATAACATGCATTTTGGAAATGTAAAGGATGCTGGAACTGAGGCTGGGAGCCAGGGAGAGCAAAGATACTTTCCTCTGGTCTTAGTCTGTCACTTATCCCTGGTATCCTCCATTTCCATAACTCTTCTCTGAATGGTGCTTTGCCTTGCAGGAGGAGTGAGGGATAACCAGAGCAGGGATTACAGGCAGGCTGGAGGCTGGAACCTTAAGTGTGGAAGAAGAAGAGTGGTGAGCTGTTTTCTGATCAGCCAGGGAGCCAAGAGACATGTATTGCCCAAAAAAATACAGGCCTTTCGTATCCCTGTAGTGAGCTCTGCCAGCAGCCAGAGCTACATCCAACTCTGCTCCTTCCTCTTTGAATAGGGAACAAAATCAGCTGAGTTCCCTTCCCAGACCTGTTTGTAAAGATTTTGCTGCAGCTTGGGGAGTAAAAAAGATGTAAACAGCCCCATGGTGCTGCAAGAGGTGTGTGCTGAGCCCCACAGAAGCTGGGTTCCACTGCTTTTTACTGAAGTGATCATAATATTCTGGAGTTTATTGGTTGGTGAAGTGTTTTATGGCTAATTGATTAGAAATTATTTGGTCATCTTCAAATGAAATCAGGTTTTTTTTGTAATATATTCCAGTTGCAGAGAATGTGCAGTAATCTATCTTGGGCTAAATACACTTTGAGATGTTGGTTTTTTAATTCTCTGCTGATTTATAAATCATGTATTTCTCTTTCAGTGGGTGTATAATATCCTGGAGAAGAAAGCTGAGGCTGATAGAATTGTCCATGAAAACCCAGATCCTTCCAATGGCTTTGTTCTGGTTCCAGATTTAAAGTGGAATCAAAACCAGGTTGGTTTGCTCCTCTAATGCTGCCTGTCAGAATGTAATCCAGAGGAAATGTCCACTTTCAGACTACTAAGAGCATCCTGAGAGAGTCTGAGTAGGTTTCTGTGCACACTGCTGTTAGTGGTGGCATTGCCAGCGCCTTTCAGCACAAGCTGATCAGGGATGGTGCAGGCCCAAGCTGTTCTCTCTGCTGCTGAGATGTATTTATTAGGTTCACTTCCACCTGTCCATATCTGCCCAAATGTTGTCAGGATGTGTCCAAACCAAAATCCTGTGTATTTGTTCTGCTGAACTTGTCTGGTTTTTTTGCAAGCCTTGACTTGAGGTGCAAACCAGGCAGCTGTGTTGTTTTTGGTTGCTTCAATTAACTCTCCTCTACAGTGTTAAGCAGATGGTTCTTGTCTGATGAGCAGCTGCTTTACCCCTTGTGGGAGTGGCCACTTGGTGAAAGTGATTTTTAAGACCAGGCTGTAATTCTAAATTGAGAATTATTCTTTTGGTTCTGGTTCCCTTTCATGCTTTAAATCTGGGGAGGTGTAGCTCCATACACACACCCTTCCCTTGAAGTTGGTGGCATCAAAAAAAGTTCCCATTGTGTTTCTGATCCTCATATGCTTCTGCAGGGGGCACGTGGGGAGAGTTGCTGTATGATTAAGACTTAGAAATAGAAATTAAAACTCAAAAAAATGGGAACACAAGGCTGCTGGTGGGCAGCTCCATCCTGTGTCTGTGCAGGGAGCAGCTGTTTGTGGTGCGGAACTGAGTTGTCTCGGGGAGTCCCTGCAGGCTGGTGTCTGCTCCCGGTGAATTCCTGGCGCATCACTGACTCCAAAAATCCCCTGTCAAGTGGTAACTAAGCTCTAATTTCCATTTGATCACCAGAGGCACAACCTTCTTCCTGATGAGATTTTGCAGCACAGGGGATACATATCCAGCTTGTAGGATGTGCCCTGTTCAGTGCCCTCCCAGTGGGGCAATATTTGGGGATCCTAAAGCAAGCAGCATCTTGTCCCTTTCCTGGCTGTGAGTCAAGCCTTGCTGGAAATCCTTGTGTGCTGCAACCAAGCTTTGCAACTCACATGGGGATTGGGCTAAAATCATAGATGGGCTAAAATTTGGGCTTTGGCTTTCTCTAGAGACCTGCTGGTTCCACATCTCCCAGCTGGCATGGTCAGGGAGTGCCTCAGTGGTAGGATTTGTCCTTAGGGGAGGTTTCTCCATGTTCCCGTTGCCTCTTGGAGTGCTGAACAGGATCTTCTGAACTTCTCCATAGCTGCTGGGCTGCTGTCTGCACCCCAGTCATCCCTGGGGCTATCCAGGCCCTTTGCACTGCTGATCTCCTTCCCAGGCAGGCCAGGCAGCATCCAGGCTGCCTTTGAGCCAAGGAATTTCTTCTTGGCTGTGGCTGGCACTGAGCCAGAGCTGATCATGACAGCCCAGGAACACCGGTTCCTTCTGCCACATCCCACCTGGCAGGCAGGGCTGCTGGATGAAATCAGGGAAGTGAGATACAGCTCCCAGCAGGACTCTCTGAGCCCTCCCTCAGAAGTCCTTTCAGCAGTGTGGCCTCACACTCCTTTAGTCCCTGGCCTACAGATCCTGTGAATTCACCTCCATTATTTCAGACTAATGGATGGGAACAAATTTCTCTTTAGCACTGTGAAATCTGCTGGCCTCAGCCTTCTGGGTGCTGCTGCCCAACCTTGATAATAATTTGAATTGGTTTCTTGGGCTGTTTTAAAATTTATTTATTTATTTATTTTACATTTTTTCGGTGTGTTTTTTTTCTTCCACATCTTTTGAGTTGGTTTCAAATCTGTAGGAGCCCTGAGGCGTAGCCTGAAGCGATGCCTGGCATGACATCATTCCAGGCCTTTTTAGCAACAGGCTTATTTGTTTCAAACAGCAACATGCAGATGTTGTTCTAAGAAGAGCTGTTTGCTTTTCCTCTCAACAGCCAGCCTGGAGCCAAAGAGCACAAGCTGATACACTGTCTTTTTCTGGAGCTGTGCATGGGAATCAAGTGGAACCATGATCATGGCTGTTAGGGCTGGCTGCAGGAACAGCTCTGTGCTGAATTCAGGAGCCCTGCGAAGGGTCCTGAGAGCATCCTTTGAGACAAGCATCTATTTCCAAAGAGCTGCATTGTGTTTCTCATAGCCCTGGAGAGATCTGCTCAATCTCAAATATCCAAACCCTTTGCTTTCCAGTGTTTATATCATAAAGTCACTAACAGAGCTGGAGGTGACTGGGATTTTTATTTTTTTAAAGTGTAATGATCCGCAGCTTTGTGTCATGTTAAACATTGAACGTGCTGAGCGCTTCGGGGAATGCCAAAGGGCTGTCTGAGAGCTGCTCAAGGGACATATTTTAACTGCCCTGGGTTTGTACAGTGAACAATTAGGTCTTGAAAGTTGTTATTTATAGAACTGATGTGACTCAAAAGTGGCCAGTTATTTGCACAGTGGAAAAATAGAGAGCTTATCACTGGGGAAATCTTCAGTTTCAGCCACTGTCGTTCACTGTAAATGCTCATCTGAGCAAGCCACAGATCAACCATCACTGAGAGACCTGTGGGGTGTGCATGGGGTGTGCTGGCAGGGGTTTAGTGACCCCACATATCTGGGTGGGTGCCTGCACCTGGTCTCCAGCCTCAGTCACACAGAGAAAGCATTTTTGAGTCGCTCAGGAAGATGTGAAGGTGGAAGGGCAGCACTGAGTGCAGTGCTCACAGTGGGAGAGGGCTGGTCACTCCATCTGCCTCTAAAGCTGAGAAGGTATTTGTGATCCCACTGTTTACGGGTTGGGATGAGGCTGTTCTCTTCTGGTCATTTCTGGACAAAACTCAGATTCTCCAGAAATGATGCTTTGAGGTGCAGTGGGATTGTGGGTGAGCACATCCTGTACTGGGAGATTCAGCCCAGTGTGGGTGTTGAGAACAAGTATCCCTGTATGGCACAAGAATCCCTTTATAACACAAATATCCCCATGTGGCATAAATATCCCTTTATAACACAAATATCCCCGTGTGGCACAAGAATCCCTGTGTAACTCAAGTATCCCTGTATGGCACAACTCTCCCTGTGCAGCACAAGTATTCCTGTATGGCACCAGGATCCCTATATAACAGCCTGGGAAGCTGTGAATGGTGTGTCAGGTCCAAAGCACTGCTGCCTCTTTCTGTGTCCCCTCCATCCCCTCCTGTGTCTCTGCAGCTGGATGATCTGTACCTGATCGCCCTTGTGCACCGCCGGGAGATCAAATCTCTGAGGGATCTCACAGCTGAGCACCTCCCGCTGCTGAGGAACGTCCTGCAGGAAGGGAAGGTGAGTGTGAGGCTGGTCCCACGCTGCCTGGGCCAGGGAGAGCTCGGCTGTCTCTGCAAAGGCACTCCCTGGGTTTTCTGGCACAGCATCTGCCTGGGGACCACTCCTCAGGAGATAAGTCATGAAACAGGGCTGTGCCAGACACCCTGGCTGCTGCTCTCCATCAGCACCTTCCCCAGATCACGCCACATCCAGGTGCTGTAGGAATCCTCTACACTTCCTGTTAGCAGTGAGCTCTTCATATTAACAACCCTGTCCTGATCCCTTGCCTCTTCTCACCGGCTGGTGTGTTTTTCTGCAGGGTGTCTTTGGGAGATGGATGTGCAGTAGTTTCTCTTTCCTTCACTGTGTTAGAATTTGGAAAGTAATTGCACTAGGGAAGGTGGGAGATTAATTAAGAGATTAGTCAGGGGATTGCAGTGAGCAGAGCCAGTGTGCTGGAGTTTGCCATTGCTGTTGATAGCTTTAATTACACTGGCTGGTAACGGATCCCTGTTACTTTTCCAATGAGTTGGAGTGATAAGGGTGAAAGGGAAAATGATAGGGGTGGCTAGCACATCCCATCGTGGAGACATAAAAGTGGGGCAGCTGGAGGCCTTGCTCTGTCCCTGCAGAGGCTGAAATGGAGGGTGGGGAAGAGCTCTGTCCTTCCAAATTTCCCCCTTCCCCTTGCTGTGAGGAGCTGAGCTCCCTTTTACCTTTCTCTGCCTTCCCTGCCACCCAGGGCTGCTCTTTCCCATCCATCCCAAGGTTCTGCTGGTGCTGATCTCTCTGTTTCCCCTCTGCAGGAGGCCATAGTGAAGCGCTTTGGCGTGTCTGGCTCCCAGCTGCGGATCTACCTGCACTACCAGCCCTCCTACCAGCACCTGCACGTGCATTTCACCGCCCTGGGCTACGACGCACCGGGCAGCTCCGTGGAGAGAGCCCATCTCCTGGCTGATGTCATTGACAACCTGGCCATGGACTCCATGTACTACCAGAAACGGGCTCTGACCTTCCCCCTGCGGGCTGATGAGCCCCTGTTTAAGAAATTCCAGGAGGCAGGAAAAGTGTGAGGAGGCAGAGGCTTTTGTATAATTTTTTTTTTTTAAATAAATACCCATTTTGGGGCTTTTTTTTTCTAAGGTTGTGTTCCTCTTATGTTTTTAAGCTCTGTTTTTGTACAAGGTGGGGCTGATGATCCTTTGCTATGGAAACCGTGTTGTCTGTTCAAGTCCATTAAAATATTGATTGAACAAACCCCTTTGAGTGTGTTGGGTTTTAATTCAGACTGGGCACCTGTGGGATGCAGTGAGCAGAGGGGTTTGGGTGGGAGTGGCTGTGTGTCTCTATTTTTTCCACCCAGATGTCAGCCCATATAGGGCAGTAGGTAGCTGGACAGGTCAAAAAAACCCTGCTGTCCTCAGAAAGCGTCATGTGTTTCCTACAGATTTACCCTTGGGAGTGAGATTGTTGCTTTCCTCGAGCAGGGAGGGGTGCCTTGCTCCAAAGAACTCCAGTGACTAACCCGAGTCCTCACCCTTCCTGTCTGGCTGTGTGGAGACAAGTGCTGTGTGCTGCCCGATCCCCAGCCCGAGAGCCATCACCCCTCTGCTGCTCCTTCATCATCTGTGTCTGACACAGCCTCGTGAGCAGGGCAGCCCCTTTCTGACAGAGGCTGCTCAAGGGTTTGCAAGAATTGTGGGTTAAAGCCCCCCAAAAATAAATAATAGTGCTCTTCCTTCTGCTAAGGTGGTGGCAGGACGGGAAAGTACCAGGAGTTGGATTCAATGATCCATTGTGGTGAAAGACCCAATTTCTCTGTATGCAGGGAGCTTGCCATTGGTTAGACTGCTAACCTGGCAGCTTCTCCAATGAGCACCAACCTCTGAAAACTTCATGAGTTCTCGGTGCCAAAAAGGGCTCTGGTTTCTGGTTGGTAACCAGGGATGTAATTGCAGGAATCATCTTGCTGCTACCCCAATTCTTTGCTCCTTTCCACACCCTAAGCTCTAAGAGGGTTTTTTTTGCTGATGGGGGAAAACCCAGATGTGATTTATTTTTTCCAGCCTGCTGGCTCTGCCAGAGTGCAGCCTGGAGCTGGCTGGAGCAAAGTGGCATCATTGAAGCTGCCCTGGGGCTCTGCTCATCCCATTTATAAATATTCAGGTCAAGCAGCTCCCTGGTGCCTTTCAGCAGAAGGGAGAGGCAGAGCAACTGGATACAGCCACCTTCCCTTATTTCTCTGCAGAAATTCACATTTCCTGGGTGAACAGTTGGGCTTGATAACCTTAGAGGTATTTTCCATATTATTGGAGTCTAGAGGTGCAATCCATAGTAAGAAAGTTGCAGTCAACTGCTGCAGGAGCCTTTCCCTCTTGTTTCTGCTCTACCCACCTCCTGAGCAGAGCAGAGCAGTTGATTTGGGGAGCTGGGCATGGTCAGCAGGGTTGCCTTGTCCCATGGCTCTCCCCTTCCCTAAGTTTTAAATTGCTAAGGGACAGGGATGATATTTTTTCCGTACCAAAGCATTTTCTCTGCCAAGGGGGAGCTTGGTCTCCTTTGGTGAGGAAACATCCCAATTTTACCTCCACCCAGGCCAGCCCAGAAATGGAGACAGTTAAAAAACACACAAGTCCATCCTGTCTCCAAGGAAGCCTCCCTGGTCCTCAGGTATTGAAAAAACACCCTCAGCCTTGAAAACAGCCTCTCAGAGGGCTGTGACAGACAACCAAGCAGCTCATCTTCCACAGACCATCTGCCTGGCTCCTGCTGGACAAATCATTTTCCTGGGATACTGCACTGGAGAACAGGGGGGACCAGGGATGGAGGCTGTCTCTACCTGTCCCAAAAGAAGGGGTCAGGGGGGAGCATCCCGATGGATCTGGAGCCTTCAAAGGATTAATGGAGGTCCTGGGGCTGGGCCTGCAAAGCCAGATGGCATTCCCAGGCTTGAGGAGGGGTGAGCCTGAGGTGACCCAGGACAAAGCCAGCTTGTGCTGGGCATGAATCGCCACATTCTTGTCCCTCTGGAGCAGATGCTGCGAGCCTGGCTGAGGGCATCCCCTTCCTGCTTTCTGAACAGATCCTGCTCGTCTGGCTCCTGCTTTGGCCTTGTCACCCTTTTGGGAGCATTTTGGCTGTGGTGTGATGGATGGCACAGCCTCTGCCCACGCCCTGGTGGGGCAGGACACCAGTCCTGTCCTGCACTGGGCAGCCACAGCATTCCCCAAACCCTTCTGTCAGTGTGAGTTCCGAGCTTGTTACAAATTCACTTCTCAAACAGCCAGCATTTTCCCCCTCTTTTCTTCTCCAAATTACTCAGTGCTCATCATGCTGAATTAATCCAACTGGCAATTTATCCTTTGTAAGTTAAATATTAGGGCAGGGTGTAGTCATTAACAGTGACAAAAAGCCCAGCAAAGACTCCTGGCACTCTGCTATGGCAGCAAATTTATTCCCATTTTCTGGTGAGCTTTAAACCCCTGCTGTCTGCTGAGGCTGAGGTGGCCACAGGAAGCTCCTGGCTGGATTTTGTGTCCACCCAAGGCAACACAGGTACCTTGTGACTGCTCCATGGATGCGAGCAGGTGTTCTGAGATTCTGCAGGATGGACACAGCTGGTGTCCAGCACTTCGTATGCAATCACCATTGCTTCCCCAAACCTTGGTGATGCTTGCGCCACAGCACTGTGACCTCTTGGCACAGAGGTCCAGGTTAATCCCTGATCCTGGATTTGCATCTCTGCAAGGGCTTTTATTCTGCTCCCAGTCCTGTTGATGTTGCCCTGGGCTATGGGGGAATGCTGGGAGTGGAGAGCATCACCCCAAAACGAGCCCATCCATCATCACCAGCAGCTGCTGGGGACTGAGAAGATCTTGGGAAGCGAAGCTTTGCAACCTCTTTTAATATTCTGTCTTGGGGCCACAGCAAAAATAGACATTTGGGATGCATTATTATTGCTGGAGCTTCATTGAATGCTGTTTATTATTTTCAGATGCAATAAACCAAGCAGTGGAACCCATGAGACTGAAGGGTCAAAATGTCCTTCAAGCAAATCCCTGCCGAGCTGTGGCCCCACTAATTATCCCAGATTGTCTACAAGCCCGTGGCAATTAAAACCTAATTACAACGAGTTTGCCTGTCACCACGGGTAAAACTCTGCCCCACTTGTTAATGGCAAGGGAACCCCAGCCTAAAGAGGATGAGGAACAAGACAAGGATTCTCTTCAAATATTGATGTAGTTCTCTTGGCAAAATCAGGTGTGTCAGCTCAACAGGTACTTTATCAATTTATATTGGCACCAGACATGTTGTCTCAGGGATTTGCAAAACTCACCCTGAGCAGGAGGGATGAGTGTGAGGCTGCAGAAATTAATAAAATTAAAAAAAAAAAAAGAAAATAGTTCTGAGGAGAATAATAAAAACCTTCAAAAGTTGACTGCTAATTTTGTGTATTGTGGGGTGGGATGGAAAAGGAATCCCTTGGGAGAGTGAGGTGGCCTGACATGGGGCATTTCTGTGGTGAGGATTAATGTCTTTTCAGGAAAAAGAAAAATACTTAATATTAGTAGATGATTTTAAGGAAAGCCATCCCCAGGGCGTTTGTGTGTCATCTCATGGGGTTTCAATGAGGGAACAGTGCAAACCCCCTGGCTCAGTGTAAATCTCCAGCAGGATGGGCTTTGCCCACCCCCCAGAATGTGCCGTGAACCAATTCTGGCAGGTTTCGGGTTGGGGGTTGCTTTTTGCCCGATGATTTTTGGGGGGTCCGAAGGCCACGGGGAGGGCGTTGTTTCCCTCCCCCCGTCTCTCCGTGCCGGGGATGAAGGATCGGGTGCCTTCAGCTCCCGGGATGCTCTTCCCTCCCTCCTTCCTCCTCCTCCTCCTCCTCCTCCCTCCGCCGCCCATCCCTCGCTGTGCGCAAGCGTGTCCGCCCCCCGCCCGCCCCTCGGGCC